ATTAAAGCTAGTTCTTTATACTTTAATAGTGTCTTAAGAGGTTAGTTCTTAAATAGTAAGTTATAAAAGTAAAAACTAGGTCTTTTTTGTCTACTATAATAATCTTAATAAATTATATACCTAGTTTAGTAGCTTCTACTATAGTTTTTAAGATGTCTTATTCTAGCTATAGTTACCTTTAGTAGTTCCCTTATACTTAGATTTATATCTTTAGTTAGTCTTTAATAAAGTTTAATATATTCTTTATATATAGTTTCTTAAGTCTCTTTAAGGCTATATCTTATACTTAGATTAGCTTAAAAATAAGTTACTAGTTATATTATTCTAAAGCTTATTTTTATATAATTTATTATTTCTTAGTAATAGTAATAGTTTTAGTAAATATATTTTAGAATTCTTTTATTTATATAGTCTTAGTAAGTTCTAGTATATCCTCTAGGTCTAGAGGCTTTTATTTTATTATCTTATAGCTTTAAAAGATTATATAAAGTTATAAGTATACTTTAATTAGTAATAGAAAGCTTCCATAATTCTACTTCTTTATCTTAATTTATTATTATATATTTCTTTTTTATTATTATAAGTTTTATAAGGTTTAGTATAAGTTTTATTATACTTGTTTATTATACTTACTTAGTACTTAGTAAGTATTCTTACTAGTATATTTATTAATAGCCTAAAGATCTATAGGTCCTTGTTTTAGTCTATTATAGACCTATATATTACTAAGTATAATAGTTTTATTCTAGGTCCTTTTATTAAAGGTCTCTTTAATCTATATTATTATCTTATATTTGTAAGGATATTGCCAAAGGGTCGGCGATAGGCCTTATAAGGTTATATGTAGTGTAGTTCTAACACGTAGTGCTAGAACTGGCGGATCTTTTAGCAGTTGCCAGAATGGTCTATTGTCAGGCGTTAGCATACCACCCAATCCCATTACAATATTCTTTTCTAGCTATAGTAATAATCTTAAGGTTCCTCTTTAGTAAAGTCTTATTAAGTAGTATTTACTTATAGTTATTTCTAGTTATTATTATTCTTTATTAAAGTTATTCTTTAACTATACTAAGTTTAAGTATAGTATATATATATATAGCTTTTAAAGAGTTATATCTTATACTATAGTAAGTACTATAGTAATATTCTAGTTCTTTTATTCTTTATTAAGGTTCTTTTTCCTTATAAATATATTTTTTATCTTAGGCTCCTTGAGATATTATCTTACTTATTTTTTACTATCTTAGTATATAGTATAGTTATTATTATAGTAGATAGTCTATATTAGCTACTAATAAAGGACTTTCTTTATAGCTATATTAGTCTTTTTAGTATACTTTAGTAAAGTCTTATACTAAAGTTATTTAGGTTACTTATAGTCTTATATATAGTAACTTATCTTTTTATAGTTAAACTATTTAATAGTCTTAAGGTTATATAGTACTTATTAGTCTTATTTATATACTATACTTATTAGAATATTAATACTAATAATTATATAACACCTAGTTAAGTAACTATAGATAGTTTATAATTTAAGGTTAAAGAGTATAGACTAGTTATTTAGCCTTTAGTTATATTAAGAGGGGATTATACTATTAGTTAGCTAGAATAACTTAAGTTATACTTAAGCAATATATAACTACTTATATAATAATAGTAGAGTAGACCTATTTAATTACTTAATAAGAAGTTAATTTATCCTTATATTTTACTAAGTATATATATATATAAAGCCTATTTAATACTAATTAGTATTTATATAGTAATTATAGATTAGTAAAAGTAAAAAGTCAAGCTATATTATATAAAGAGTTAGTTTATATAGTGTCTAACTATAGAAGGGCTAAAGAACTACTCTTTAAGATAACTACCTATACTACTTTCCCCTATATATAATAAAAATTAAGAAAACTATAACCTTCTTATATATATACAAGAAGTAAGTAGTGTACTACTATAAGTATATTACCTTTATTAACTAGACGTTATATAATTTAAAATAACTACTAATATATTAATATAGAACACCTAAAGCTAAGAGAAGGAACCTGCCTAAGAAGAATATATCTTTATATATAAAGATATATTAAAGGGCAGTAGTATTATAATTATAATATAAAGATCTTAAGTATTACCTTAATACTAGACTAAATATTAAGACCTTACTAATAACTTATCCTAAAAGAAGATTATAATAAATCTAGTGTATAAGATATACTAGATAATTTATATAAATCTAGACTAAAACTAACTTAAGAGTATAATTATAATTAACTTTAAGGACTAGATAGCTAACTACTAGAAGTAAATATATTATATATACTTTAGGGAGTTTATTAGGTAAATTATAAAAAAAAAGATCTTTATAACTACTAAGATAAAGCCTAAAAATAAACAAGTAGTTAATCTTATATAATAACTTTAAAAGTAATCTAAGAAAAAGTCTAGTAGTTATAAATAAATATACTAATAACTACTATTAAAGATCCCTAAGCTACTATATAATAAAACTAGGCTAAAACACTAATAAAGTTAATTAAACTCTAGGATACACTAGTAGCTTAAGGGACTAGAAAGCCTATTATATAAATAACCTTATATAGAGTATAACTTATATAAGAGGTAAAAAGTTTCCTAAGATCTTAAAACTAAACTATACTTATATTATAAAAGAATATTTATAACCTTTTACTAAGGTAAATAATTAATAATAGACCTTATAAGCCTTATATAATCTTAGTCTTCTAGAAAGACTAAAGAAAAAAGAAAACCTATACTAAAAAGCTTTATAATATACTTTATAAAAAGGCTAAAGTGTTTATTAGTTTTTACTATTATCTCTAGATTATAAAAGACTAATACTATACTATTTCTCTAGATATCTTATTTAATTATATAAAGAAGTTTTATCTTTATTATATTAGACTTATATAAAGGTAAAATAAAATATATACTATACTAAATATATACTTTAATACTAGTATTAACTATAGTGTTTATTAGACTAATTAGACTACTATATTCTTTATATAAGTTAAATAAAAAGATCTAAATAAAATACTTATAAAAGTACTAGAAATATTACTAGATAAGTAACTTCTTATATAAAAAGCACTTAGTTTAGGTTTTTAATAAAACATTATACTTTATATATAACTTACTTAGGCTTACTAAGGTATTCTAGAGCTAAAGACTACTTTTAGTAATCTTAAGGTATACTATTTATATAAAGAGTTCTTGTTTAACCTTAGGGCTTCTCTATAAGTTACCTTAGATAAAAAGACTATATTATATAATATTAACTTTATAAATTAAAAGTATACTTTAAACTATAAAGATAAACTAAAATAAAGATATTTATATAATTAACTACCTTATTAACCTTTTAATAAAGAAAAAAAGAATAAACTATTTTAACTAAGACTTTTTTATATAAATATAACTAAGAAGTGTTTTATATATAAGAAAAAAGAGTATTAGTTAACTAACTATATAAAGAAAGAATATAACTATATAAAGACCTAATATCTTTAGGTATATAATACACTTGCCTAGGATTTATATAAAGACTTTATAGTCTATCTTTTTAAAGTAAAAAAGAAAGCCTTATAAAGAAAAAAGAAAATAATAACTTATATAATAAAGAGTAATTCTTAGATAACTAAAAAGTCCCTTAGTATTTACTAACTTTAGCTTTCTTTTATTATATAACTAGTAAAAATATATTCTTAGCTTTAAAGACTATTAAAGTAAGTTAATTTTAAATTAAGGACCTTTATTATATAATAAACTAAGGAGAACTATAGGATACTAAAGTAGCTAAGTTTTTAACTATAAGAAAACCCTAGGTACTAGTGTACTTAAGAGAGAACCTATATATAAAGATCTCTTAGAACCTAGGTTTTACCTATATATAATTTAGAGTAAATAACTTTATAACGTTAATAAGAACTATAGAGATAAAGAACTAGCTAGAAATAGTTAAGTATTATATTCTTAATACCTTAACCTTTTTAAAAGTAAAAGAGGTAGATAAAAGAGATAGAAGATAAAAGATAAGATATAAAGGTAGTATATTATTATAGATATAATAGAAGAGCTTATTAGTCTAACTAGCTAACTAGACCTAGGGATATAAGAGGATTTACTTATACTTATTTCTTAGGTATTCTAAGGATTTCTCTAGTATTCTAGGTTATTAAGTAGGTTATTAAGTAGGTTATTAAGTTATAGCGTATTATTTTACCTATAGTAGGGTATTATTTTATCTATTTACCTTATATAACCTAGAACTATATTCTTAATTCCTTAGAGAAGGAGGAGGTCTTACTTAAAAGACCTATTCTTTATATATAAATATTATTATTATATAGTATATATAGCTGTTTTCTAAGTAGTTATTCTTATATCTAGTGTATATAGTGTATATAGTATTATTAATACTGTAATATATATTCTACTTCTTTATTATATTATTATCTTATTTTTATATATATAAGGTCTTTAAACCTTAATATCTAATACCCCCCCTTAAGGTATATATAATTTATTATATATAGCTTATCTATAAAAACCTTAATAAGAAAAATTAAGATAGCTATTTATTATTAAGTATATATACTTAAATATATACTTTACTAATCTCTTTAAAACCTTTATAAGCAGAGAAAACAAGAGATAGTAACTTATTTATATATATATATTACTCTTCTTTATATATATTATTATTATTATTATTTATATACTTATTTCTTATATTTTATTTCTTCTTGTTTATTATATTTAGGTATAGTATCTTTATCTATTATATTTATAGTATTTATTATATTATAAAATAAAACCTTTCCTAGAGGTTTAGTTAAAATATCTACTATATTATCTTTTATATTTATATAATATAGATATACCTGTTTATTTATTATAGTATCTCTAGTAAAGTAATATTTTATATTTATATGCTTAACTTCTTTATAGAATTCTAGATTTTCTGCTAGCTTTTAAGCTACTTTATTATCTATTAATATTCTAGGTTTATTTAAATCACTAAACCCTAGATTTATTCTTATATAGTTATAGCTATTATATAAATATATAGCTTCTTTTATAGCCTCTGTTAAAGCCATATATTCAGCTTTACAGGTACTTAAAGCTACTGTTTTTTATTTTATAGAATTCTAGCTAATAAGATTATAATATCTATAAGTATATATATAACCAGAGGTAAATCTTCTATCATTAAGATCTCTTGCCTAGTTAGAATCAGTATAACCTATTATATCAAAATTATTAATATTATTACAGTTATAATATATTCCTAAATTATTGTATTTATTTAAGTAACCCTATATTCTATTAAGAGCAATAAAATACTCTTTAGAAGGGTTACTTATATTTCTAGAACAAGTTATAACAGGAAGAGTTATATTTATTCTTGTTTTTAGTGCTAAATATATTAAAGCACCTATTTTTTACTAATATTTTAATATTTCTTCCTTAGTTACTTGTCCTTTATTTTTATATAACTTTATATTATTATCTATAGGTGTATTATAAGGATATAAATCCCTTTTATTATATTTATTTAATATCTTATCTGTATATTTAGTTTAATGTATATATACGCTTTTATTTTTATAATCTATATATATTTTATTTCCTAGAAATATACTAGGTATTCCTATAGGCTTTATTTTTATATATTTAAGTAATATATTATTAAATAGATTATTTATAAATTCTTTATTATTTCTAACTACTAATATATTATCTACGTAATAAGCTAGTATTATTTTATTATTATTTTTATTATATATAAATACTGCTTCATCATAAGGGGATATTTTAAAGCCTTCTTTTATAAATATATCTTTTAAGTGCTTATACCATAGTCTAGGACTTTGTTTTAAACTATATAAGGCCTTATTTAATTTACATATATATTCTTTATTATTATATAAAGGGTTTTTATTATTAAAAACTAGTTTATTAGCTTCTTTATTATATATATATCTAGTAGGAATTATAGTATATATATCTTTATTAATATTAGTATATACAAAGGCATTAGTTACATTATATTATTGCATATACTAGTTATTAGCAACAGCTAATATTATTATATATCTATAGCTTTCTGGCCTACAAGTAGTACTAAAGGTTTCTAAATAATTAATACCTAAGTGTTAATTAAACTCTTGTACTACCTATCTTACCTTATATATTTTCTCTATTTTATTATTATTATTATCTGTTTTTTCTTTTATTTTATATACTTATCTTCCTTTAATAATATTATTATTATTATTATTTTTTATAATAGTCTATGTATTATTATTTTCTAATTCTTTGATTTCTTTATTTATACCTTTTATCTAGTTATCTTTATTATTATCTTCTAGAAATTGTTTAAAAGTAGAAGGTTTAGTTAATATATTAGAAGATAGTATATAAGATCCTTTATCTTTAGGTCTGTTTAAAGGAGCTAATATATTAATAGAAGGATAATCTTCTATAGTATTAAATAGATTATCTTCTTTATAGTCTATATAATCTTCTTTATTAATTTTAGGTATTTCTATTATTATATTATCTTTAGATTTAATATTATTATTATTACTATTATATTTATTTTTATTAAGGTCTTTATTTATATTATTATCTATTTCTAGACTTTCTTTATTATTATTATTATTAGTTATAAAGTTATTTTCTAGTATAGTAATATCTCTAGACTATATAGGTCTTTTCTATATTATACCTATATTTTATAAGCATTATTTCTATAATTTATTATAACGCCCTTATTAGCTCTTAAATCTAATTTTTTAATATTAGGGTCTTTATTTTTATAGTAGTATATACTCCCCTAGACTCTTATATTAGATATATTAGGTTTTATTTTATATCTATTTTTATAGGGTGTTTTATAATCTATAAAAGAATATAGAGTTCTATTATATATATATATAGAGGCTAAGAAAGCCTCTCCCTATAGATATTTAGGCAAATTAGAATTATATAGTAAAGTCCTTATTTTATTAACTATATTTCTTATTATTCTTTCTATTATACTATTAGGTTTATATGTATAAGGAGGTCTTATATTATGTATAATTCCTTTGTTATTATATATTACTTTTATTCTTTTATTATTAAATTCTTTTCCTTTATCTGTATTAAATTCTCTTATCCTTTTATTATTAGTATTATTATTTACTAGATTCTTAAAGTTATTAAATATAGTATATATTTCTTTAGAATCTTTAGTTTTCAGAAGATATCCCTAAGCAAATCTAGTATATATATTAATAAATATAATAAACTATCTATTCTTATTATATATTATAGGAGTTATAGGTCTATATAAATTAGAAGCTACTGCTTCTAGATATTCTAGTATAGGTCTATTATTATTACTTATCTTATTTACTTTATTTATAAATTTTCCTTTTAAATAGGCTTTATATATATTATTTATCTTAGGTATATATATATTATTATTAAATAGGCTTTATATATACATATACTTAGTAAAACGTAAGAGTAAATTAACTTCTTATTAGGTAACTAAATAGGTCTACTTTACTATTATTATATAAAGCAGTTATATACTGCTTAAGTATAACTTAAGTTATTCTAGCTAACTAAAAGGTATAATCCCCTCTTAATATAACTAAGGGCTAAATAACTAGTCTATGCCCTTTAACCTTAAATTATAAACTATCTATAGTTAACTAACTAGGTGTTATATAATTATTAGTATTAATATTTTAATATTTGCCTTTCTTCTTTTATAATTATATACGCCCTTATGTTAACTAATTAGATAGTCCTAATTAGTTCTTATAATAACTTTACTTTTAGTAGCCTACTATTATATATAAAGTTATCTAAATAAAAATAAACTCTAAATATACTTTTCTAAGAGTAAATATAAGGTAATACTTACTAAGCTAATTAAATCTATTCTTTTATATATACCTTACTATTTAGTTATTTTTAAATAGTTACTTACTTATATAAAAGTGTTTACTTTACCTTTACTTCTTCCTTTACCTTATGTTTATACCTTCTTTCTTTTATATAATTAGTAGCCTTAACTTCTCCTATATAAATACTTCTACCTTTTACCTTTTTTCTCTTTTTCTTTTTCTTCTTATGCTTTTTAATAATAATAAATAATATATAAAACTTTACTAGTATAGTAACCTTACTACTTCTCTTCTTTATCTCTCTTATATATTAATTAATTAATAACTCTCTTTTCTCTTTAACTTATTAATTATTTATTACTTTATATATATCTTCTTCTTCTATTATTATTAACTTTACTAATTTATAATAGACCTTTTTATATATTATAATAGCTTAGCTTAGACCTTAGCCTTTAGTTATTAGTTCCTTAGGGTTTAATAGGACTAGAATAGTATAACCTAGCTTTATATCCTAATAGGTAACACCTAAAACTACACTTTTCTCTAGCTTTTACTATTAATATATAAGGTTCTTTTTCTTATTATAGTTTATATATACTAACTTTTATTAAACCTTTAGGATAAAGAATAAAGGTTATTAATATACCTTTATATAATATTACTATTTATTTTAATACTAATACTTCTATCTAAGAGTTTATTACTAAAGTAATTTAATATAAAGGCTACTTTTATATAATACTTATTTAGTCCTATAGCTAACTTATATAGGCCTACCCTAAAAGTATATAAATAATATACTTTACTACTTTACTAACTACTATTACCTAAATAACTATTAAGAGAAGTATATAGTAAGTATATCTAGATAAGCTATAAAGCTTAATATAGCTATTATAGCTAAGAAGAGGTTTCTTTAGGTAATAATAGTAGTAATTCTAGTAATAGTAGTAATAGCTAAGGTAACTATAAGAAACTATTAGTCTCTAAGGCTAAAACCCTTGTACACTAGGAAGGTTTAAGAAAAGGTGTTAAAGAAAAGGCTTCTTCCTTAGCTTAGTGCTAAGCCCTAATCCTTAATTAGGATTAGATCTAAGGTATATTTTCCTTTATATAAGCTAAGTAATAGGTAAGTATAAAAGGTTTATATACTCTTTATAACCTAGTAAGAATATATTTTCTTATATAGTAGATTTATATACTTTAGTTATAGTTAAGGTCTTTAGTCTAGTTAGGTTTAGAATATATATTTAGGGTTTTAGAGTTAAATAATACCCTTTTTATAGTAAAAGGTAAATACTTTATATAAATTAATTATTAATTAGTCTTCTTAATTTATTTAATATATACTTTAATTTAGATCTTTAGTTATTTATACTAACTAGCTTTTTAAGGCTAAAGTTAGTAATTTCTTAGTAAGTATATTTACTAGGTTATCTCTTTTATTAATCTATTTAACCTCTAAGATCTCTTTCTTCTTATATAATTTATATAGGCTTATAATATTAATTATAAGTTACTTTTTATCTATTATTCTTAATTATATAAGTATTTATATAGTAAATAAAGTCTAAATATATAATAACTAGAATCCTTAGAATATTAAGTATATAAAGGATCTATTAAGTATTATACTTAAAGTAATCCTACTATTAAAACCTATTATTATACTATAGAGCTTACTTATAAGTAACTTTATATAACTCTTTTATACTTAGTAAAGCTCTAATAGATAATATTACCTTAGATTTTAAAGTTAGTCTTTATATAAGTAACTTCTTTTACTAGTATAATAATAAAACTAAGTTATAATATTAGGTCTACGTTATTAGTAAATAATCTATTAGTAAAGATATATATCTTTATATAAGTAAAAGAAAAGGTATATAGGTAAGTCTTTCTCTAGGTTATCTATTTACTATTTAATTTATATATTTAGGTCCTTAATTACCTAAGGGGTATCTCCTTAGTCTAAGCAGTAATTACTAGATTATATAATACCTCTAGTTAATAGATTAAGGTAATATATACTCCTTTTGCCCTCTAAGAGATATATTACTAAGGAGAATTATCTAAAGTCTTATTAACTAACTATAGTTAATTTACTTAACCTTTCTAGGTAAAGGTAATATTTTATTATTATATATATAGATATATCTACTATTAAAGTTAGCCTAAGTTCCTAAGATAAAATAGTCTTTAGCTTTATATAAATCCTT